ATCCTGATTATACAGACCAAAAAAAAAAAAAATGGAGGCTCCAAATAAGAAAAGAATTCTCTACTATCACACAGTAAATAAATGATAAAGATTCAGACACAAGTTCTCATCTCACATTCTAATTATATCTCTCTATATATCACTTTGTCTCTCAAGGGTTAGACAACCTACTAGAAAAAGCAGCAAGAGACTTGAACAGGTACTTCATGAAAGACTACAGCCAAATGGCCGATAAAGGTTCTTGACTTCATTCGTCACCAGGGAAATGCAAAGTAAAACCATAATGGGGTACTTCTACACACTTGCCAGACTGGCTAAAATTCGGAAGAAATACCAAGTCCATGGAGAGAGCACACTGCTGTTGGGACAAAACACTGACTGAATGCTTCAGAAAGCTGTTTCCCAGCATCTACTTAAGCTGAATCTATAATATGCGTACTATACCCTATGACTTGGCAATTTCATGCGTAGATTTGCATCCAGTGGAAATGCATACATAAACACTTACAATATGGCATGCCACAAGTGTTTATAACAGCCCTATTTATGACAGGCCCAAACTGGAAACTATCCAAATGCCCACCAGGACAAAATAGTGTACATGCTGAATGGGTCCATTTGAAAAAAAATCAGAAATGGGAAAAAATTAACCCGGAAAATGGAAAGCAAAATAAGGGGGAACCCCAAAAAAGAAGGGGGCAATTGTGATTGGAGCAGAAGATATGGGTGCTCACTATGCTTGGGGTCCAGTTTGGGTGTTGGTTACACTTTGTGAACCTTCCCCAAACTCAACCCTTACCCACTTTTCCATGCGTGTGTTAGACTTCGATAAAAAGTTTACCAGAAAGAGTATCAATCTCTGCTCCCCAAAGCATGCAGATGTAAATACTTTAGAAGCATTTTACAGAAATGCACACACAGCTTACCATGTTTAGATAGCCTTTTACATTTAAGAGTATTTATTTAGCAGACAGATTTCATGTCCTTTCATATGAAACAGCAAGACAGTTGAGCTAAACACAGGAATTACTTCTGGGATACAAAGCTGAGTTCTGCAAGAATGACTGGTAGGTGTAAACAAAAGACAACTCGATCTTGAACGTAAGCAATAGTATCTAAAAAGAGAGGCTGATGCATCGAGTCTCATGGAGAAAGGGCTATACAGCCTACAGACAGGGCTTGTTGCCCACAGAGGAAGTTTGGGATCTGAGGGGACCCTTAAACAGGTGAAGCAATGGAGCCTAATAAAAGCAACAGCTCTGGTTGGGCGAGTGGCTCACGCCTGTAATCCTAGCATTCTGGGAGGCCAAGGTGGGCAGATCGCTCAAGGTCAGGAGTTCAAAACCAGCCTGAGCAAGAGTGAGACCCCGTCTCTACTACAAATAGAAAGAAATTAATTGGCCAACTAATATATATAGAAAAAATTAGCCGGGCATGGTGGCGCATGCCTGTAGTCCCAGCTATTCGGGAGGCTGAGGCAGGAGGATCGCTTGAGCCTAGGAGTTGGAGGTTGCTGTGAGCTAGGCTGACACCACAGCACTCTAGCTAGGGCAACAAAGCAAGACTCTGTCTCAAAAAAAAAAAAAGCAACAGCTCTGAAAGGTACAAATCTAGAAACGAGGATCTGCGGCATATGCATGTAACTTTCTTTGAAACCCACATAACTTTCCTATTCTTTCTGAAAGACAATGTTTGAGTAGGAGGAATCCTTAAGAAAGCTGTCACACTAAATAAAAAGGTATAAGAGCTAGTGGAAGATTGAGATACATATATGCATACACATGTACGCATGTATGGCAATTGAGTTATATATCTTATATATGTTCTCTATATAATTATATCTAGTAGATATCTTACATATACATATGCATGTATATAAATGTTGGAATGTAGCCCTGGTATGATCTGAGTTGTCATTCCCCAAAATTGACAATATATATATATTTTTTGGTTGCCAAGAGATTTATTACAGTTTGGTAAAACCCTGAAAAAAACAGAAAAAACTAAATATCCAACTTTAGCGGACTAGTTAAATAAATATACAACATCCAAAGGGAAAAAAACATTATGTAGTTAATAAAAATAAAACTATAGGAAACTATTTGACAGCATACCAATACTTGAAAACGTGGGAGAAAACTATTTGATCCAATGCCCAGACACACACCGCACACTCACAAGTTAACCTCTGAAACGATGTAAGACAAAATGCTGGTAGTAGTTACCCTTGGGGAGTAAGTTAACAATCACATTTAAATTTTCTTCTTTGCACTCAGATGCATTTCTGAGCTTTTCTAAGACAAACAGATATTTCAGGTATGATCATTTTTTTAAAGTTATTTTAAAAATATGTATAGCCTACCAATCTTCCAACCAAAACCTTCTACCACCAGCTCTGCCCTTGGCATTGAGGAAATTCACAGGAATATATAAAAATGGGTGCTGACAGGCAGAGGTCATTAAATGGAGGTTAGCTGAGGCAACTGGAGGTTTATCAACATGGGGCTCTCAATTCTATCCACAAAGCCTGCTAAGATTTGAGAAAGGACACAGGACGGTCCATCTAACGTGGCAAAGACCCAAAGCAGTAGTAGCCCACGAAGGGGTCCAGCTGCTCCTTGCTCTGCTAATGACATGATTATTCGATGAGCAACCTACAGACTATCATCTGCTTTGCAAGCCATCAGAGGTCTCACTCACAGAGAGAAGCATAGTGGGTTCTTTTTCTCCAAGGATGTAAAACAGGCTTCAGATTTACTATACCCACTGCTCTGAGTTGGCCATCTATAAAGAAAACTGCAACCCACATATTAAAGTGTCAAAAAAAAAAAAAAAAAAAAGAGGAGCAGTTAAAACAGCAGCAGGTGGATTACAGGTTAGGGTTCCCAAGAGAGAAACATGCTAAAGTAAAGGCATATTTATTTTTAGGGCCCAAGAGTAAGAGTTGCTTTTATCTTTAACACATTGACTGCCACACTAGAAAAAAAAATTTTTTTTCCTTGGGGCCACAGTGTTTTATTACAAAAATAAAGTAAAAACTTCAAGAATAAAACAATTCTAATTTAATGAAAAATGTGTTAGTTTTTATTGTTTTCTGTGCATGAGTTATGTGCAATTTGAAAAATAGTTCTTGCTGCTCCCAAGGTGAAGAGATGTGTGAGTTACCTATGCTTCATGAGGCCCTGGGCTCAAAACTAGTGTGAGTTAAATACAACTCACGTGGTAGTTAATGTATTAAAATATATTTATGGTATATATTTTGTAGTTTCCTAACCAAAACACAGGGTAAAAAGTTTAAGAATTACCAGATGAACCAAGTCTCTTTATCTTTTAGTCAAAACTTCATAAAACATAGGTTATACTGTCTCTTCTTTCTATTTATTTGCATGGTCAACATAAGGAAAAGAACAAACAGGGTGAAAATTATTGATTTGTTTAAGGCCTTATCTCAGAATTCCCATATTCAATAGGCACATATAACCACAGATTTCTTCTAATTTACATACAAGAATAAACAAACATATATATAAGGCTATACAATTCTCACTCTCCATTATCCTATTAAAATATGGGTTTTTAATTTCAAATTATTTATTTTCAACTTCAGATTTTCTTTATGTGGAAAATTCTGTACTCCAAAAAGTTTGTAACACTTATTCCCAAATCTTAGTAAATAGCAATTAATTTTTCAATTGCATAAAAAAAATCTCTCTGCAGATGTCGTCTTTGAAAATCTTGGCTGGCTACCTCCCTATTACGGTGACTCCTGACATGTCAACTGTTGCATTTAAAAGACAAATGGCACTGAATATGTAACAAGTATAAAAACCTTTCAGTTACAGGGGCTTTTTAATGCTATTACTTATTTAATAAAATGGAATACAATCTTTAAGATTTGATAAGAGTATAATTGGTCTTTTCCCCCTAACCACTCCCCCACCCCCATCTTCAACTTTATTTAGATCATATCAGATTTTGACCTTGTTTGTCCTGGAAGTCTCATCTATAATCTCTTCTGGCGGCCAATTTTCCAAGGTCACAGATTTTTTATTTTTATTTTTTTTAACCTTACATCCTTAAGTATTGATTAGCTCTCTTTGGTAATTTTCTATCTGTTTTGCAGCCAGCAATTTCAAACGAGTGTTAAGCAATTCAGCACTGCAGTTTGGCCAGTCTGCATCAACCTCCTGTTCTCTCTCTCTCACATCACTCCCTGAAAATGAAGTGGCTGCATGCACAAAAAAAAAAAAAAAAAAAGTATGAAAATAAAGCAAGCGCTTGCTCGGAGCCTGTCAGCTAGTGTGCTGCACAGCATATTTCAATTAGCATCCAATCGTGTTAAGTAGTGATACTTCAGTATTTGTGTGAGCCTGCCTTGTTGAATTTAATACTCAGACAGCCATTTTGCAAAAACACAGCAGGTCCACGAAATAAGGACTGTTTCAGGGCAAGTCACAGGATAATAAAGCTGTTGTAAATGCAGGCGTCGTTGCAACATCTGTCCATCCTTCAGATGATTATCATCTACTATTTCTCTGAAGCTGTTCAAAATAGGCTTTCCCGTTAGCCTCTGTGGCTATCTTTAATTTGACAAACTCCGTGGTATTCCTTTTTTCACACCCCTCCCCATGCCATCAATTCAAATATGAAAAGAGGACTGCCCTAGGTAAAAGAGAATATCAACTGGTTTGAACTGAGACAGATCTCCGAGACAATGGACTTCCCAAACCAATCCCTGTGCAGGTTATTTTCCAACCTTAAGCAAAGTAACAGGGCACAGAAGATAGAGATAAAAAAACATCTCCGGGAGGGAAAAAAAAAAAAAAAATCTGACACTCTCCTAGACCTCAGGTGCCTTGACAACGCGTGGTACAAACGACTGATTGTCTGGTTGGCTCAGCACAAGGATTAAAAACATCTGAAAGAAGCAACATGCATCAGACAGACACGAATAGTAATTTCGGGTCCGGGCTGCAATTCTACAGCCCTAGAAAACTTACATAGGACACCCGTACTCGCCGGCGATGTACCAGCCCGCAGCACTGCATGAAGAGGTGGCAGGATGCAGTCAGCGTGTGGCTTCACCGAGCTGCACTGTGCATTGTCTTCTTGTCACAGCCACTGTCCATTTCGTCCCACCTTCTACTCCCAGGTAAGAAGCATGGGCAAATCAACACTTAGCTTCTGCCTCCTAGGTCGCTTCTAAAAAAACCACGGTTCCTGCAGGCATGCCAAAACTTTGTTCTCCCTGTTTGTCTTTTGTTGTTGTTATTGTTGTTGTTCTTCCAGGTAATTTGAGATCCTCTTCTTCTTTTTCAGGGGGGTTGCCTATTTGCAAAAATCTACAGAAAGTAGCATTCATTTGCCTGGAGTAACTACTGCTAACCCAGAGTCGTGACTGTCCAGCTCATCAGAGTTTCTTGGCAGCGTTTTTAGAGTAGCCATTCTCAACTCGGGAGATGTGGAAGCATCGGAGCATCTTGCATTGCACGACCCTGCAGCATCCTGCTTTTTTGCAAAAGAGGAGGCCTATTCCTGCTGCTGTTTATGTGACTGCTTCTGAGAACGCTGCTGGTTCCTGCTTCCGCGGCTGCTCGGCTATTATTGCCTTCCTCACAATGCACAGACTGGCAACAGCATCCTTGATTCAGTGCTACCTCTGGAACGTCTGGGGCATATCTGATTTGCTATTTCTCCCTCTCTCCCTGACCCTGAAAAATTACCGAGTCTAGACTTTAATTCACTGTGGATTCCTAGGACTACAGAAACACCCTCTAAATTGTCAGATGCTTGGTCCTGCAGTAGGTATTTCACATGAATTGTAAAGAAGGATTGCTGGAGTGGCCTCAGGACCGGACTTGCTCAACCACTGCGGCTGCACGGATTCTGGGTGTTCGCCGCCAAATATTCATTTTCCACGTTAGAGCATATTAAATTAACATAACTCCAGTAAGAGAATTTGATCAGAGTCAGATCGAATTAATTAGATAATATATCACCTAGGATTTAGACACAGTAAACTAAATAAGGCTACCTTCCAAGCCTGAGAGTTTACAAATCAATACTCCTTATAAGCTATTAATATTATTTATAGCTTTCCCTAAAGACATAGTTTTCAGGGACTGAGCTGATCCTAACATTGTTCCAAAAAGGCTTTGTACATGTCACATCTAAAAAGGTAAACGATTAAGGCATGTGAGGATCCAACTATTAATGTGTATATCAACCCTATGAATACACACTGATTCATATAAAATCCATAGTGAGTCAGAGCTATTGATCCAAATGTGCCCCCATGCCCAAGTCACTCCATATTCTGTTGTCACTTACGAAGGTATGCTAATTACTTCAAGGCACTGATCAAGATCAACCACTATTATGCTCTTTAGGTCCATAGAAAAATGAAAGCCTACTCATTCCTAACACTTTACCAGTAATTTCTAAAAACCTATGATTTTCAGTAACAACTCTATATTATTATCAATGGTCTAAGAGGCCATTAGAGCTGAAAAAAATTCCTGCCTTAGTTCAATCTTTTTAATTTGTACCATGAAGTAACTGAGGCCCAAAATGGTTATATGTTTTATCAGTAATATAAATAGTGTAAATGACACCCTGTATTTTACATAATTTCCACAGACTGTGAAAATCTGTGGCTTTATCATATACTAATTAATCCTCTGTATATTTGAAAGTCCAAAAGGAAAACAATAGACAATAGATGGGCAATAAAGATACTTTTGTGATTAACTTATTAACAGAAACCTAGAGCAAAACAAAATATCTGGATTACACAGCAAATTGACTCTTAAAGTCAGTACCAGGAAAAAAAAAAAAAAAAAAAACCTCAAAATTTTCTGGACCATACAACATATACTCTCAGTAGGAAAGACTTCAATTAGATTTTTAAAAAAATAAACCTTAGTGAGAAATACAGTAAGCAATAGAAGAGAACACACAATTCAAGTTCAAGTTTTTCATGACCTCAACCACCACACATTTACTAGAATAAATGAATAGAAATAAAGAATAAAAATTAAGTCAATGTTAGAAAAAAAGAGGAAAAGACTGGGGAAATGATCTATCTCTTCTATGATTCTGAATTTGGATTTGGAATTCACTTTTTATTAGCTGTGATATTTTTATACACAATATAAGAGAGATTCCCCAGTTCATTAGAGATTCCACCCACCTTGTCATTCAAGAATCCACAAAAGGATGAGAAGCTCTGACTTACTTGATTGTGCAAACACTTATGGAGCACCTTGTATTTGCTCACCACTATGCTAAGGTGCTGGGGCTATGAAATAAATAAAATATAGTCCATACATGCTTCTAGGAACTTACAACAACAGAGGAAAGAGAGCACAGTGCTAAAGTGCAATGGGAACACCCAGGAAAACATCTCCTAATTGTCCCTGGAAGGAACACGAATGGCTTCACACAGATCGGGACACTTGGATTGGCTTTTGCAGAATGGGTAGAATTGCTTCCTGTGTAAAACGGGGTGTGTGGAGGTGGGGGGGAGGGAATCCCAGGCAACGGGGCATCAGATGCAAATGCAAAGATGATCACACACAGAACAAATTCTGTTTATCCAGAATGTACAAGAATGTGCATACATATTCATGGTATATTCATACAACAGGCATATATCCGAAGTCCTCATTCTAAACTGAGTTCTTCTCCAAATTCGGTCCTGATTCATCTCCATATCCCTAGCACTTAGCATAGCAAGTGATACGTAGCAGGGATGACAAAGATTCACAATTGTCCCCTCCAGATCCACTCTCTTTGCTTCTCCTACAGCAACAGAAATGGACATTGGGCTGCTGGGCTAAGACAATCATCCCAGCGTCCCTTGCCACGTGGGTGGCCACGGGACTAGACTCTGCTCCACGGGGCACACGCAGAACTGGCACGTGCCAACAGCATAGTCACGTGCTACTGCTGAGCGCTGGAACAAAGTCACTTAGGGCGAGAAGAAAGCTGCACATTCAGGAGAACAGAACAACAAGACAGCAAGATTCCCAGTCCCTCGGACAGGGGTGCCACCATTTGGACTGTGACATGAAAGAGAAATGACCTCCTGGATTGTTTAAGTTGCTGCTACTTTGACCTCAGTTATAGATGCTAAACCTGTATTTTCAAAGTGCCTCAAAATATTTCTGGAATGAATAATAAATTCACAGAATCCAAGACTATGGAGGCGGCGAGAGAGAGTGGGGAGAGTGGACAAAGGAAGAGAGTGGAGGGGAAAGTTACTAGCCCAGCCTGGACTGCCCTGAACAACGTAGCAAAGAGTTGAGACTTCAACTGGTAGGACGTATGGAATCTCTGAGATTTTTAAATGTGCAAATACCTGTTGTCTTATTAAGAAGTGGGGAAAACAATCTCCAGACTGTTGAGCCTTAAAAAAAAAAAAAAAAGAAACTTGTCAAATAGTTTAATTTCAGTGAAAAATAAGAAGCTTTTTAGCTTTTGTATTTGTTAAAAATAAATGTCCATCTACTTAACAATAATCAAATCAAATCAAAAGTCAATAAAACTAGCTGTTTGGGTCATGTAGCTAAATTATAAACCTAATGAGTTGTTAAATTAGCCACTTTGTTGTAACATGAGATATAGTAAAAGCAAAACATTGAAAAGTGACCATGAGAGGTAGCATGACAAAAGCCACCAATTAAAAGGCACCGTAGATAAATGTAGATAATATCCATGCCAGGTATATTTTAAAAATCCAAGAGATTTATTTCTGGGCAGTCTTTATAGAGTTGTAGAATTAATATTTCTTTACTATTTTTTTTCTACATTACTACTCATTAGGAGGGTTAAAGCACATAGCAGATGTTAAACGCTGGAGGAAGTGCTTCTTCTAAGAAGAAAACTCCTTGATAATAAGGAATAAAATGAGATCTGGAGAAGCCTTCTGTAGTGGAACTCAAGGTTTCTTGCCAGGGCTGACCCCGCTTGAGTGTCTCTGGCTCTTGTCATGACTGTGGTTTCAGATAAGAGGTGACCCCCCCATCAATACACCCAGCCCTGATACTCACTGGACTCTTCCTTCTCAGTATGTTGCTACAACTGTAACCACCTAGAGCCTAGTGCTCTTAAGTTGACCAAAAACTTCTTTGCTAATTTCAGTACAAACACAAAAAGGTCCAACTGTCTACAGCAGGGGTCCTCAAACTTTTCAAACAGGGGGCCAATTCTCTGTCCCTCAGACCGTTGGACGGCCGTTGGAGACTGCGACACACATTCCACGCATGCGCACTGTTGGCCTGGGATGAGTTGGCTGCTAAGCAGGACAGGCAGCGGTGGCAAAAACACCCAGCATGCCGGATAAATGTCCTGGACAGGCCGCATGTGGTCCATAGGCCATAACCTGGTCTACAGCCATCCATTCTGCCAACAATAGCAACTGAGTGCTGCTCACCATGTATATGTCTCTGCCAGATGCCAGTGATCAAATGACAGGTAAAAATCACTGAGGTCCTGAACGATGGGGAGCTTAAAATCCAGAAAGCGTGACTATTTGAATCAAACAACATATAATTACAAAGCGGTAAGTTCTCTGAATGAAAATATGGAAGACCACGAACATGCAAATGAAGAGCAAGGAAATGACTTCTCAGAATGAGAAAAGTCAGAAAAGGTGTCTCCAGGAAGTGCTACTGAAGCTGAGCTCTGAAGGGTGGGAAGGAATTAATCAAGTAGAGGGAGAAGGGGCAGGGAGAGGGGACGTATGTATTTGCAAAGGTCTTTGTGGTGGAAGGGCGGACAATGTGCTTAAGCAGCTGGGAGACAAAGTGAGAGAGAAGGGAACAAAATGTGGTTGGGGAGGCAGGTGATCGCCACATCATGAGAACTCTATTGGGATTTATATCTTCGTACTGAGAGCTGCAGGATTCCATTCTGACAGTCAAGAGGCACCATCAGATCTGTATCCTACAAAATCCACCTTGACAGTGAGACTGAAGCTAGACTGGAAGACGGCTAAAGGGAGGCAGGGAGACCAGCCAGGAAGCTACTGCAGTTACCCGAGTATATAGAAGGCAATGGGCTCTTGTGCTTAAGGTGGTGGAGCTAGAAGGTGGGGAAGTGGGTGAATCCATGAGATATTTAGGAATTAAAGTAGATAACTGCAAGTACAGAAATCAGAAAAAGAAACCCAGTATTACCAATACATGTTTCCCAGTTCTGTCTTCATTTCTGGACATTTCTGTCCCTTTCTAAAAGTTTGGTCTCTTGCAGCACAATGCATGATAAACCTTTATCTTTATGCTTGTTCCAGTTAGCTTCTATTCTCGGTCCAATCTTCTTTTCACTCTTTAGCATCCTGAACAGAGTATCTACCTGGTACATCTTCCACTGAAGTCGACTTCTCTAGCCACCAAAAAGCATCACTCTATTTTGTTCCAGCTTCTAAAGAACTGAAAAGCTTCCTTTCTTTCTCTAATTGTTGTTTATTTCTCACCAAAGTATCTGGGCTCTCTTTTGATCTGCTGGGGGTTGGTTTGTCTATGTGTATGTGTGTTTGTTTTTCAGACTTACCAGCAAGTATTTCTTCTGCATAATGAGAGTGTCACCATTTGTTTATTTACCACCTACCTACACAGAGCAGAAGTAAATAAAATAACTACATGCACTATAATTAGGGAAGAAGAAGTCATACTTCTAAAATTACTAATAATCATAGAATGTGCACTAGACTTCAACGATAAGTTAAAAACATGCATTGTGCCCGTACATAGACTTAGACTACATGTGCTACATTCAAGATTGTGAGAAATCTGTGTAACCCAAATAAATCCCAGTTCTTGTATAGCCTAGTCATATTAAAAGAAGTACAATCTAGCAACAAAAGAGTAATTTAAACTCAAATGTCGGTCTTTAACTGCACACCTCAAAGAACATAATAAAGGATCCTATAACCCACAGCAACACTTCTGAAAAATCCTTTTCCTTTCTCCCCACAATCCTCTCAATCCACCCCAAAAAGCCACCAGAGATCCTTCCCTTGCTTTCCAGCACAAACAAAAACATCAAAAGCTACCTCTCCCAAACACTCAGCTTCCTGACTCTCCCTCAACTTATACCCCCCCCCCCAGATTTGCACTGGGTAGATTTGCTTAGTTTTTGTAGCTTTTTGTTTTAAGTTTTTCCCACTGTACCAGAGTCAGAACATTAGTCAGATTCTTAACAAGTGAATCCAGCAAACAAAAACTCTATTCTTTCATTCTCCACCTTCAGTCTAACCTCTTTCTACCCAAACTTTAGGTTTCGTTCTACAGAGTGGCAAGTGAGGTCAGAACATTATTTTTAGATGCTGATGGAAGGAGAAACCCTGAGTTGAACAAAGGCAAAGTTCTCTTTATTACCAGGGAGCAGAGGATGGAGGGAGGAGAGGAGAAAGACCAAGAACACCCACGTCTTAAAATTTTCCATGCCGTGCTATTTTTAAGAGAATGCACTTGACCAGTTCATTGCATTCATTGTAGCAATAAGGAAATGCAACATGTATGTAAGAAAGAAAACCCTGGCCCTTGGGTGAAAAAAGACAAGGCCCGCTATTTATAGTGTAACATCTCATGAACAAATCTATGGTGAGAACAAGATAAAACACTTCCCAGTAGCTACGTTGATTTCCTCTTTGTTTGGAAAGACCAAGAAAGGGAAACACACATTTTCTCTGATGTTGCCATGGAACGCTCCCTATAGATTTGGGAATTCTATGCCTTATCTATAAACCGTATATATTTTTATTGAAATCCATATTTTTCATGAGTGTTGCCAACCACGTGAGCCCCACCAGCGCCTGACCAACCCCGCTATGCTGCGATTCAGATGGAGCAACTACAGACTATATCTGCTTTTGCAAGCAATCAGAGGTCTCTCACTCACAGGAGGAGCAGAGCATGGGTGGGTTCTTTTTCTCCAAGATGTAAACGGCTTCAGATTTACTATAGCCACTGCTCTGAGTTGGCCATCTTAAGAACTTGCAACCCACATATTAAAGTTCCAAAAAAAAAAAAAAGAGGAGCAGTTAAAACAGCAGCAGGTGGATACAGGTTAGGGTCCCAAGAGAGAAACTATACTAACAGTAAAAGGCATATTTATTTTTACGGGGCCCCAAGGGTAAGAGTTGCGTTTTATCTGTTAACACATTGACTGCACACTAGAAAAAAAATTTTTTTTCCTTGGTGGGGCCACAGTGTTTATTACAAGAAATAAAGTAAAACTTGCAAGCAATAAAAACAATCTCAATTTGAATTTAATGAAAAGATTGTTAGTTCTTATTGTTTTTCTGTTGCATGAGTATGTGCAATTTTGAAAAAGTAGTTCTTGCTGTCAAGGTGAAGGAGATGGGTGAGTTAACCCTATGCGTTCATGAGGCCCTGGGTCAAAACTATGTGAGTTAAATAAACTCACGTGTATGTAATGTATTATAGAATATATTTATGGTGATATATTTTTGTAGTTTCGCTAACCAAGCACACAGGGTAACAAAGTTAAGACATACAGATGAACAAGTCTCGGTTTTTTTGATTTACCTTTGTTTTTTTTTTTTCTTTTTTTTGTCAACAGACTTCATAAAAACATAGTGCGTCATCACTGTTCTGTTTTCTATTTTTTGCATGGTCAACTAAGGAAAAGAACAGAACAGGGGTTGAAAATTATTGGATTTGTTTAAGGGGCCTTTATCTCAGGAATTCCCATATTCAATAGGACATATAACCAGCAGATTTCTTTCAATTTACATACAAGAATAAACAAACATAGTATATAAGGTATACAAGTTCTTCACTCTCGCATGTATCTATTAAAATATGGGTGGTTTATAGATTATTTATTTTCAACTTCAGCATTTCTTTATGTGGATAAATTCTGTTGACTCCAAAAAGGTTTGTAACACTCTTTCCAAAATCTTTGTAAAAAATACAATTAATTTTTCAATTGGCATAAAAAATCTCTCTGGCAGTGTCTTTGAAAATCGTTGGGCGCTACTCCCTATTACGGTGACTCCTGACATGGTAACTGTTGCATTTAAAGACAAATTGGCACGTGAATATGTTGCTTAACAAGGTATAAAAACCTTTCAGTTACAGCGGGCTTTTATGCTATTACTTATTAATAAATGGAATACAATCTTTAAGGATTTTATAAGGAGGTATAATTGGTCTTTTCCCCAAGCCAGTCCCCACCCCATCTTCACTTTATTTAGATCTATCCAGGATTTTGACCTTGTTTGTCCTGGAGTTCTCTATCTGATAATCTCTTCTGGCGCCAATTTCCAAGGTCACAGGATTTTTTTTATTTTTGTTTTAATTTTTGTTAACCTTACATCCTTAAGTATTTGATTACTCGTCTTGGCGTAATTTTCTATCTGTTCTGGCAAGCAGCAATTTA